TGTTTTCAAGTGGGTGAATATTTTCTGACTTACGAATATGAGGCAATGATTGATGTACAGATAACTGCAATAGTGTTTTACAAGAAAGGCCAACATTTTGCCTCTCCTCAAAAATAAGCAGGCAAATAAACAATCCTCATGGTTTCCATGCAAAACACACCACACATAATTCCGTTTCTCCTTTTCCTTCTCTTCTCTGTCCTTCTTGTGGACTCTCTCAACCCTTGATCAGGTTCAGATGAACTTAGAAATTGGTGGAACACTTGGAGTTTAGGAATTTTTTAAAAACACTTTTTGTGTGTGTGTGTGTGTGTGTGTGTTACATAATTTTAGAAAAACCTAGTTTTTAGGGCTGAGCCAGAGCTAGAAAGAAAAGCAATAGTGGAGGTTTGTAGATCTCAATTGTAGATGAGAATTTTGAGACTGGCTATCCTAAGAAGATTAAAGTCAGAAGCAGAATTTTCCTAGTGTGATTCAAAAATATTCTAGAATTCCGGATTGAATGAAAGGCAATACCATTTTGAGAGCTTTTGAAGAAAATGTCATGAAACAAATCAGTAGAAACAGTTACCTAAATTCAGGAAAGTTTCCTGAGACAAATTTTGTTCTGTTAAACTTTGGCTCTTGGGAGATGACTGACTAAAATGGATTAGCCTGCTGTAGGGAAAGATCTCAAGCAACTCATTATGGGAGATGGAGAGAGAGTGCAAACTAGAGGTTTGCTGGGAAGCACATAAGCTTTAGGTGGTGGCGGTGATGTTTTTGCTGTGACATCTTTCCTGCTTTGCATTGTAGATGAAATAAACTTAGAAAGGAGACTGCAGGGTGGAGAGCATGGAGTTTTGGGCAAAGAAGCCCTGCCATCACCTTTGGTGACCATGAAAGCAGAACTGGAGATTAACATTCTGAACAGAAAGACGATGGGGGAGGAACACAAATACTGACTAGATAATTTTGAACACGCAACCCAACATTCCGCCCTGATGGGAAATAACAGATGAGCCCTAAACCAAAGTCCTAAAACCGAAAAGCGGTAGATAGAGCCGTTTGGGAATGTGCAGTGAGCATCCTTGGTGTTGGGGAAAGTTTGGCTCTCCACGAACAGAACAGCCGTGTAGCTGACCTGGAAATGAAGGGGAGACTGGCTTTCAAGTGTCAGGCCGTCTCTATTCTTAGAGCTCAACTAGAGGACAGAAGATGTGGATGAAACCGCGCCCTTGATGTGGCGGGGCATAAAACCCATGCTGGGACCTGACGCTGTCGTCCTGGCATCAGAATAAACCGTTCATTTCTGCCTGTGGTGACTAACAATGCTGACATGCTCACAAAATAATGTGAAGCATATGGATCGCAAGTGTTTTGAAGTAAAAACTTCTCTAAAGATTTATTTAGGTTCCTTAATTACAGAGTGGTTTGGAGGACTGGCGTGTGGTTTCAGTTTATAGTTATAAATGTTGGCCTTGGTGCTGGGTCCTTGCTGATGTTGCCAGAGAGAAAAAGAACGAGACCGGGAGCAGGGCTTGTGTCCTTGATGGCCTGCCCCCCTTGGTCATCGTTTTAAATAAGTCAAGTCACGATCTGAGTTTATACGTCGTAAGTGTATGATCACAGGTGTACTGTGCTGGGGATGGGCGTGTCAGAGGCCTAAGCCAGTTTTTCCCGTGCTTATGTACCTCAGTTGGTGTATTTTCGAGGCACTTTGAACTCAGTGGCTGTCTAGAATCTTGAAAGAATAACTATCCCTTTTCACCTTTATCTTATATGAAAATATACTCTGTTAGATGAATCAAGCCCAGTCTGGGGGACAGCAGTTAAGTATTTCTGTCTGGACAGACAAGAAAAAAAACCTAAGTGTTTAACTTAAGTGTTTTGATGTGAAAGAAATGCATGGCAGGGTCCCTTGGTGATCTTCTAAAGCTTCGTGTGTGTGTGTGTGTGTGTGTGTGTGTGAGTGCGCATGGCATACACATGCACACACACAATCCTATATCGTTATTCATGTTAGCAGTAATTTTGCATCATTTGGGATCTGTGAATGGTGTAGTATATAAAACTAACTTGCAGTCTTAGGAGCATAGGAGAGGTGTATGTTAACCCATGAAGTCAGTGCATATGGATTTGGAAAAGTTCACTTGTAGTTGCCGTGATGTGTTTTCCAGCATTTCTTGCCAATGAGGATAATGACAGTGTCATCTCTGCACTGTTGTCTGGAGGTGCGAGGAACAGGAAGGGGAGGGAGACTGATAAGAAATGGAAGCACTGCTTTTCTTTCTTGCAGGAAGGTCATGAGAAGAAATGAATTTCCTGATTACCATTCTGTGGGGCTCACTCCAGTAGTGACTTTGTCAATACTTGGCGAGAATTCACTCGTTCATTCTTTCGTATTTTGATATTGGCGGTGTCTTATGTTTATAACTGTGCAGGATGGCACAGAGATGAATTAGACAGAAAGGCTGTGCCCTAGAGGAGCTTACCTTCTGGTAAGGGATAAGAAGATGTGTACATAACTAATTGTAACACAAAGATTTCACACGTTTATTTAGGACTTTACAACACTTAAAGAGCTTTTATATAGCCTTCTCAGCTAAAGTATGTGGCTCCATTCTCCAATTTGTACGTGAAGAAACTGCTGTTTGGCCAGGGTGAGGGACTTGCTCAAGGTCAGGCAGGTGGTAAGCTGTGGGTCTGGGGCCTAGAGAATCCTACCCAGGGTGTCTTCTCCTCCCACAGTCACTGTGTTTTTCACTTTCCCTGGTATGCGTGGTGCACATGGGAGCATGCCTGTTTTCACCTGGGGGCATCAGAGAACATGAGAGAAGGATGCTGATTGGTCTTGGGGGGTGAGCAAGGTGCTGGTTAGATAGGGAATGGCTGGGAGGGATTTGAGGGGTGAGTAAGACCTTGCTGGGCAAAAGGAGATCACCATGCACTGGTCACAGAAACAGGCTAAAGCCACCTGCTACTCAAAAAAAGTCCCTTGTGCCAGATATTTCCATTCTTTTTTCTTATTCATACATTGATTCGGCAAATGCATTTAGAGTATACTTATGGGCAAGGCATTGGATTCATTGAAATCACGGTTTAAGAATAAGGCTCGTGGTGGCTCTTTGAGGGCCCCGCAGTAGTCCAGCCGGAAGATAAGATCACAAATAGTCCTAGGAGGATGTGACAAGAGGGGAAGAATGTGGTACGTGGTATTTCTGGGTGCAAGTTACAACTTTCCTGGGAAAGGAATCACAGACGCATCAAGTCATGTCTCAGTCTGAGTTGGATCATTTTTCTTTAAGGAGGCTAACACTTACTTCATAGAACGGTTTTAAGGGTCAAATCTGATTGTGAATATGCAAGCGTCTCATCCTGGCACATCGAAGGTGCTCAGTAAATTGTCAGTATTAATGGTATGACACACTTTCTCAAGAAAAGCCAAAGTCATTGATTGAAAGGCTGTCTGTGGTTTGGTTAGCCAAATTTAAACCCTCCCTGGAGCCTAGCCCTTCACTGGCCTCCTGGTCTCCAGATTGGTCTCCTGTGCACTCTTGTGGCCTGGTCCCAAATGCAGAGGCGGTATATCTGGGTGGTCAGGAGCAGGGCTCAGATCTGGCTCTACTGTGTCCCACTGGCCGTGTGACCTTGGTATGTCACGTCTTCCATGCCACAGTTTCATCATCTGGAGTGGGATTAGTAATAATTTATTAGTAGTTTTGTTGTGAGATTTAAAATGATTAAAGAGGAAGGGCTTGGGGCAGTGCTGGTAAATGTTGCTATTTTTAGCTCTCATTACTATCTACTTCTTATCCAGTCCTGCCACTCTCCTGCTTACAGTCCTGGAGTGTAGTTCCCTATCATCTCTGTTCTAATTTGGAGTCTGCCCATCTCTCTCTCTACCTTGTCACTCATCTGTCCCTTCCTTAGGCTTTGCCTTCCAGTAGCAAGAACTGCTCATAACCCCCCTCCCCCACCCCGCCTAGGTTATTTTGTCTTTTGCTTTGTTCCCTAAAAGCCCTTAGTCTTGCTACTATATTCTTGAGGACTGGTTTTTCTACCCCTGAAGATTGTGCAGCTCCATTCCCCATCCCCTGAGGCCTCTGTCTTGTTCTGCAACGTTTGCACATATCTTTCTCATTGCTTTTAACTTGCTGGGTTGCTGTTTTCTGTTTCTCTCTCTCTCCCCTGCCTTTGACTGAGAATTCCTGAGACACGGTTGAGTCTAACTTATCTTTACATTTCCAGCATGTTCTTTACACAAGGTAGATTCTCGATAAGTACTCGTTGATAAATGAATTAGAAGAGGGACTTTACCTATTTTAAACACAGTACCATATTGTCAAAATTATTTTTCAGTTAGCTAGAGGGGGCACATTTTACCTTGTTTGTAGATTTCGAGGCAGGGAAGATCAATCTGAGGACTGATTTGGTCCTCGATAGGGGGCCCTTTGTCATCACAGGGCCCAGTGAGGAGCTTGAGGGCCTGGGACTGGACAAGACCCCTGGCAGACGCATGATACCTCTGGCCTCTGGAAAGCAGTAGTTCTGTCTTTAGCTTAATGATGCTAATACCAGCTATTTGGTATTTGATAACGTTTTTCTAATGTTCGAAAAATTTTTTTCTTGTTGTTTTGAAACGAGTGTATTGTTCTGAAAACCTCTACATCGTCCAGTTTTGGGCATGTGATGTGACATTTTCTCCTTGGTTCTCTGAATTGTCCAGATTTTAATACAGTGAACCTTAAGTATCACATGTGGGTTGAATAAAGCAAATCTAAAGAGTACAGTAAATTGGTACCATTTTGTTTACTAGAGAATTCGAAGGAAAAGGTAACATGGGCCACAATGATGGATGGGTTTATTTTTTCCTTTAAGAATTTGAAGGAAATAAAATCTGATGTCTCAGCTTCCTATCTAAAGCATATCAGTGTCCTTTAAAGAGCCTGTGGTTGCATCTGATAAACACATGATAATGAGCTGAATTTTAAGGACTTTTCTCCCATTATCCCCTGCAGCTTTGCCCTGTCAGATGAAGCATACAGATCCCTGAGAGATCAAGATAAGGACCAATGTATTCTCATTACTGGGGAGAGCGGAGCAGGAAAAACAGGTAAGGCCAGCCCTGGACAACCTTCCTTTCTCCTCTCTAGAAGGTAAATGCAGCACAGATGATGTTCGAGCAGAGGGCGGGGCTCATTAGCATGTAGCTGCACAGGGCCACTGTGATGGCTCCTTTGCAGGAGGCTGCTGATTAGGATCATGGGCTGTTCTCTGGGAAGGACTTAACATCTCTCACTTGAAGAAACGGGTAACTGTCAAAGGGATTCCAACCAGTATGGGAGTCTATTTCTGGATTCCAGATCTACTTCAAGGTCTTTTACCTTTCCTCCAAGGCCCCAGACCTTTGAGGTCTTACCACTTCTTTGATGAATGACAGATTGTTTGGGCTTTGAGAGGCCACAGGCACATCTTACCTCTGCTAAAGAGTGAGGAGGAAATATACCAGAAAAATGCTTAATTTTACTCTAAAGACTTTGAAGCCTAAGGAATTGAGATTTTCTATATATTTCTAGATAGGCTAGCAACCTCCCCGTAACACAAACCCTTGAATGGAGAGATTATGCTTTTTTTCTTGTGCTTGTAATAAAAACAATTCGTGTGATTGATGATGCTTTTGAGTGAAAAGATGATTTTACACTTGATGCCCAGCTAACCTGGAAAAAATTTAGAAGAGCTGTGCTCTGTGAGTCCAGACTTGGGCAGGTTAAAACCACTGTTGTCAGTGAGTTTCTTTGATGGAACTGATAAGTCCCTGAAGGAGGAGGATGATGAGGGAGATGGTATTTTCACAGCCATTTTATCTGTAAAATGTTCTCGTTTTATACGCAAGACTCTGATGAATCTACTAGTTTGCTAAAAAGGGATTTAAACATTTCTACTTTGCTTGGCTATTAAGTGATCAGATTAGCATACTTTGAGTCTCTGATTATTAAGAGAAGAAAATTGTCCATGGTTATTTCAGTCATCTGACCGAAATGGATATTTTGTTCATAAGCCCCTCCTAAAATTTGTGCCTTTGAAGTCTTATTGACTGACATGTAAAAATGGAAAGTAACAGGGGCGCCTGAGTGGCTCAGTCGGTTAAGTGTCTGCCTTTGGCTTTTGGCTCAGTCATGATCCTGGAGTCCTGGGATTGAGCCCAGTGTTGGGCTCCCTGCTCAGTGGGGACTCTGCTTCTCCCTCTCCCGCTGCCCCACCCCGTTTGTGCTCACTTGCTCTCTCTCACATAAATAAATAAAATCTTAAAAAAAAAAAAAAGAATGGAAAGTAACAGAAAGCATAGTCTCATATTGGAAGGGATTGTAGTTGTACACTGCCTACTGTAGGGTCCTTCCCATAGAACAGCCAGACTCCCTTCTTTTGTAGTGATGGAGGGCTCACTGCTTTGCAAAGCCGACTCCTACACTTGCCATACAGGTTCAGCTAACACAAGTTCTTTCTTACCTAGAGTTGGATTCTGCCTCTACCGAGTGGTCTTACCTCTGCAGTCTGGAACCTTATCCAGTTAGTGTACTTTCTTTTCTATGGGGCAGTCACTCAGTTATTTGAAGTCATCCATCGTGTCTCCCTAGGGCTAAACATCCCTTGTCTTCACAAATTTCCCATGTAATGCACATTCATTTATTCATTCATCCAGGAAATAATTTTCTTCTAAGATTTATTTATTTATTTTAGAGGGGTAGGGAGGGGCAGGAGGAGAGAATCCTCAAGCAGACTTCCCAACACGGGGCCCAGTCCCAGGACCGCGAGACCATGACCTGAGCCAAAACCAACTCAGCCACTCTACCGGCTGAGCCACCCATGAGCCCCTGGGAAATAATTTTTGAGGACCAGTAGGAATACTAATAAGGTGAAAGGTACTGTGCTAAGTACTAGTGGTACATTGGTGAGCCAGACGCCATCCTGGTCCTTATAGAATTTGTAAACTAGTGGAGGAGATAGACGATAGCTCTGTGTTTTATATACATGTACATAGTATATGTACTAAATATACACATATACATATATTGTATGTATGCATGTATACATATAGTCTATATACAAAATGTTAAGTGCAGTGAAGCAAAAGTAGAGGGTGCTTTTAAGAGCATTTAATAGGAGGATTAGATCTCATTCTCCAATCCCTGACTATCATGGTCCTATTATTCTGGAATAATCCCATTTTGTCTATATGCTTCACAAAATTACATCCCAAGAAGAGAGAGAGACAAAATAAATACTTCAAGTTTGGTCTTGGTTATAGTGGAACTATTCCCCCTTTTAATATGGCTACCAGGCTTCTGTTAATATGACACATGTATGGAATCATACCAGTCTTTTCATCAAGCAAGATATTGTAGGTTTTTGTTTTTGTTTAAAGATTTTATTTATTTACTTATTAGAGAGCGAGCGAGAGAGAAACAGCATGAGAGAGGAGAGGGTCAGAGGGAGAAGCAGGCTCCCCGCCGAGCCGGGAGCCCGATGTGGGACTCGATCCCAGGACCCTGGGATCATGACCTGAGCCGAAGGCAGTCACTTAACCAACTGAGCCACCCAGGCGCCCGATATTGTAGGTTTTTTGAATCCACTTCTGTTAAGTCAGATATGCTCAATCTAGTATTGTCCATCAAAGTTATTGTAAGCTTAAATGTAGAATCTTTTATTTATTTTTATAAATTTTAGACCATTGTTAAAGCCGCTTGTGAAACTGACAAATTCTGATTCTGTTCCCTCCCGTAGAACCACTGTTGTGCCATTGGGTAATAACACTAGCTACCCTGCATAAGTACACATTGTGCTGGGCATTGTGCTTTAGCATATTACATGCGTAAGTATTCTTCTTATCCCCATTTTTATCATGGGGAAATTGAGCCACAGAAAGGTTAACCAACTTGTCCAAACTTCCTAGTGAGAAAGTGACAGAGCTGGGATTTTGAACACAGGTATATATAAAGCTCTAGAGTCCCCACTTGTCTTAGTCAGTTCCGCCTGATTTAACAAAATGCCGTAGACTGGGTGGCTTAAACAACAGATATTTATTTCTCACAGTCCTGGAGGCTGGGAAGTCCAAGATCAAAGTGCTTGCTGATTTGGTTCCTGGTGAAAACCTTCTATCTGTGTTGCACATGGGAGAGATAGAGATAGAGACAGAGAGAGAGATAGAGACAGAGAGAGGATGAGTGAGAGTGAGATAAGCACACTAATCCCATCACTGGAAGTTTGTGAGTTTTTGAGGAACCTCTGTACTGTCCTCCATGGTGGTCGTACCAATTTACATTCCCACCAACAGTGCACAGGGCTTTCCTTTTCACATTTTCTCCAGCGCTTGTTACCTCTTGCTTTTCTTGATAATAGCCATTCTGACAAGTACCAGGTTGTTATTTTGAATTGCATTTCTCTGCTGATATGGAGCACATCCTCAGGTACCTGTTAGCCATTTCAGTGTCTTATTTGGAAAAATACCTATTCAAGTCCTTTGCTTATTTTTACATCAGATTATTATTATTATTTATTGCTATTGAGTTGTATGAGTTACGTATTAACTGTTTATCAGATACATGACTTGTCAAGTATTTCCTGCATTTTGTAGGTTGCCTTTCCATTTATTGATTGTTTCTTTGGCTCTACAGAGCTTTTTAGTTTGATGCAGTCCCACTTGTTACTTTTGCTGTTTATACTTCGCATGTCATGGCCAAGAAATCATTGCTAAGACCAATGTCAAAGAACTTTTGCCTTATGTTTTCTTTTAGGATTTTTTATGGCTTCAGGTTTTAGAGTTAGGTCTTTAATCCATTTTGAGTTACTTTTTGTGAGTGGTATAAGATAGGGTTCAGATTTATTTTGCATGTGAATATCCTATTTTGCCAACACCATTTATTGAAAAGACTGTCTTTTCCCTATTGAGTATTCTTGGCTCCCTTGTGAAATATTAGTTGACTGCATATGCACGGTTTTATTTCTGGGCTCCTCTGTTCTGTTTTTTTGGTCTATGTATCTATTTTTATGCAAGTACCATACTATTTACTATAGCTTTGTAGTGGTTTGAAATCAGGAATTATAGTGCTTCTAGGTTTATTCTTCTTTCTGAAGATTGCTTTGGCTGTTTGTAGTCTCTTTGTAGTTCTGTATAAATCTTAGGATTGTTTTTTTCTTTTTCTGTGAAAAATGCCATTGGAATTTTGATAGGGATTACATTGAATCTATAGATTACTTTGGGTAGTATGGACATTTTAATACCATAAATTCTTTCAATCTGTGAATATAGGGTATTTTTCCATTTATTTGTGTCTTTAATTTTCTTTCATGAGTGTCTTATGAGATCTTTCACCTCCTTGGTTAAGTTTTTCCTAAGTATTTTATTGTTTTTGATGTTATTGTGAATAGGATTGTTTTATTTCTTTTTCAGATACTTTGTTGTTAGTATAAAGAAACACAACTGATTTTGTATGTTTATCTTGTATCCTGCAACTTCATTGAATTAGTTTATTAGTTCTAACAGTTCTTTTGGTGGCATCTTCAGAGTTTTCTATATGTAAGATCATGTCCTCTACAGAGACAATTTTACTTCTTTCTGATTCTGGTGTCTTTTATTTCTTTTCCTTGCATAATTGCTCTAGCTTCCACTACCATGTCGAATAGGAGTGGTGAGAGTGGGCAACTTTGTCCTGTTCCTCATCTTAGAGGAAAAGCTCTCAACCTTTCACCATTGAGTATGATGTCAGCTGTGGGCTTGTCATTTATGTCCTTTTCTATGTTGAGGTACGTTCCTTCTATACCCAATCAGTTGAGAGTTTTTATCATGAAAGGTTTTTAAATTTCATCAAATGCCTTTTTGCATCTATTGAGATGGTCATATTTTTATCTTTTATTCTGTTAATGTGATGTATCACTTTTATTGATTTGCACATGTTAAACCATCTTTGCATCTTAGGGATAATATCAATTGATCATGAAGTATGATCCTTTTTTTTTTTTTTTTTAAGATTTATTTATTTTGAGAGAGAGCTGTTGATTATGTGAGTGGGGGGAGGGGCAGAAGGAGAGGGAGAGAATCCAGAAGCAAGACTTCCC